GTGATCATGTATTGTGTTATATTATATTTCTGGAAAATTTAAGGGGTAGTTATATAATAATTTTGGACGATCTTGGGTGGTCGGATACTTATGACCGCTACTGTATATTGATTTTTTTTTCATTTTATCTAAAATTTAGTATCATAATGAATACATATTTATAAAAATTTATTTTCATTTTATCATAAAAAATCCTTATTATTATAAAAATATATATATATATTTTTATTTTATTATAATAAAATTTTATCATACTAATCTATTATACAAAAATTTGATTATACTGATCTATTATTATAAAAAAAATGATATTTTTTCATTTTATTATAAAAAATTCTACTATACTAATCTATTGTTACAAAAACATTATTTTTATTTTATTACAAAAAAATTCTATCATACTAATCTATTATTATTAAAAAAATATTGAACTATTATTATTACTAAGAAAAGTTAATAAATAATTATTTAATATACTTATTAATATTAAAAAAAATTATATAGTATGCAGATATATTATTAGTAATCAATTGAAATATGCTAATTATATCTGATTATATTATTTGATTAAATTATCTATAATAATACAAATTAGAATCTGCCTAAGTAAATTAAGTACAGACCTATCATATGTTATATAGTTCAAAAATTATCTACATAGAGAATAATCTAAATGTAATATAGTTACATATTAATTTTTTATTATATTATATAAAAGATATTATTAATATGTGATTTTTATAAATTGTAATAATTAAACAATATTTTAATAATAAATCTTTTAAGTTAATATAGTAATTTAATAATAGAATAATACTTTAACTTTATTAATAAGTACAATTAAATAATCTATAAGATAATTTATAATTTAAAAATATATTTTGCTGAAAAAATAAAAATAAAAAATAAATCAAAAAAGATAAAATATTAAAAATAAAAAAACTAAAATAATCTAAAAGAAACTAGAAAGTATATTATAAGTTAATTATTTTTATTTAGAAAAATTAAATAAAGAAAAACTCAAGAAAAACTAATTTAATTATTTTTAATTAAATAATTTAAAGCTTTATATTTATATAAAATTAATTAAATAAATAAATATAATAATTATATAATATATATTTAATTTATTTAATATATAATAAAAAAATTAGATTTTGAAAATTTTAATTAAAATTAAGAGTTTAAATATTGAACTTTTTAAGATCAATACTAAATCATATAATAATTATAAGAATAATTATTAGTAATAAACTATATGATAATATTTATATTAAAATAAACTCTAATAAATTAGTAGTTTTACTATATAATAAACAAATTATTTTTAAGCTATTAATATTTAAATACTACTAAACTATATTATACTTATTGAAATAAGTTTTTATTGATAATTTATTACTATAGATTATATTTATATTATTAGTGAAAGTTTTAAATGTTCAACTATACTAGTATATAATTATTTTTCTATTTAAGTAAATAAAAAAACTCATTTTATTTTTAATAGTTAAGATTTTTTTATTATTATAAAAATTTATAAAAAAAATAATACATCATTATAATAATATTTATATAAATATAAAGACGTCAAATTAATTGTATTTAATATAAGTATAGTAGTTTCAAATATTTATACTCTTATATTTAAAATAAAAATACGTTATTTAAGACTAATTGTAATTAGTTAAAATAATAAAAATATTATTTAAAAATTGTCATAAAATATAAAATATTTCTTATTTTAGTTAAGTTAAAGTATATTTAATTTTTATTTATTAAATTGATTCTTTATTATAAGTATATTAGAAATATAAAGGTAATGATTATAAAGCATTATTTGTTTATTTATTTTTAAGAAAAATCAAAAATATATTTATTATAAATTAAAAATGAGTTATATAAAATTAATTCGTAATTCATATAATAATCAAAAAAATTTACTATGATAAATCAGAAGAATTTTTATAGAATATATAGTTAATCAATAAAAATTGTGTCTTTTTAAATCATTAAAAAATCATAAAGCACATTTTATATAATCTATTATACTAGTCAATTATAGCGATCATAATTTGATATTTTTTTACATTAAATTATTTAAATTTTTTTAACATTTTTAATAACTTTAATTTGAGGGAAGAGTAGATTCTGAGTTATAATTTCAATAATTTAAAATTTTGATTTTAATATATTTCATATTTTATAAAATAAATTTTTTTTTTATATTTAATTATTTATTTATTTTATTATGATTATAATATATTAAAGAACTTTTCTACTATTTTTTGATAATATTGTGCTGAATAATGAGAAATCTAACTTTAAATAGTTTGTAATTTTGGTATTTTATCTTTCTTAAACTCTTCTTTTTTAACTTTTCTTTTTAGACCTTCTAATATAGTAGTAGTAATATATTTTTTACTTTTATCAATATCTCCTTCTAAAAAATATTCTTCTAAAACTTTTGATATACGTTTTTTATTATTTCTTTTATCATATTTTTGTTTACTTTTTAGCGTCTATTTAGATTATAAAGGAAAATTTTAAGAAGGATTTCTATTAAAGAAAGGTTTGTATTATAAATTATGATATTTTTATTTATTTTTTAAAATTAAACACATCTACTATATACTAATATTTTGATTTTTTTATTCTTTATAAGTATCTGAAATAAAAAATATAATTAGATATTTTTAATCCTATTTCATTATCTTAAAGAATTTTTTTATTTTGTATTAATTCTGAATCATTGATTAAGGTAAATTCTAACATTTTAACTAATTTATCTCTTTTAGAAATTTTAATAATATTGATATTTTGTTTTATTAATTTAGATAATAATTATTCTTTTATTAATCTTAAAATCAATACCTAAGTAAAGATGAAATATAGTTATAATTATATATAAAGAAAATTCATAAAATAACTTCTTTATCACTTAATATATTTAGTATAAAAATTTTGCATAGATTTTTAGAAACTGTATGAGTTAATATTCAAGGTTCAGGAATTTCAATTTTCTTTTTTTGCAAATTAGCTATTTGTGTTAATGAATAACTTATAAATTTTTTAATATTAGGTATTTCTCAATTAAGAATATAACCTTTTATTAATCCTTCTTTTGGTCAAGTCCATTCAAACAAATTAAAATTATCAAAAAGAGTATTTTTTGCTTTTTTATCTTTTTTTTTAAATGTAAAGTAAATTAAAAATTAGATAATATATACTTATTATTTTCTTTTAATTTTAATTATATCTTTTGATTGATTTAGTTCTAAATATACAATAGATATTTTACGAATATCTTTAATTGCAGTCTCAATATCAATTCCTTCTAATATATTTAATTTAAACAAACTTGACATTTAATTATATGAGTAATCTAGAATAAAAAATAGATTTTTTTATATAATGTAAGTATTTATTTTTATTTATACCTGAGTATGATGACTATCAATAGTTACTTTAGCTTCTTCTGCTTCTAAAAATATTTATTTTTTACATTTATTTGATACTATTCTAACTAATAACTTAAAATTATCATTAGATTTACATTATGATAATATTATCTATTATCTGAAATAATTGATATCTATTATAGCTTATTTTCTAATAATTTAATTATAGTAACAGTCACAGGATATGTCCCTCATGATGATTTTAATAGTAATTGATTTTTGTGTAATGTATAATGATATGATTTTCTTGTAAAAATGCTTCAATTAACCTATTATAAACGACATTTTGACCTTAGACAAGTTTTATTCTCTGAGTTTTACTCTTTCATTCTATATTAGGAATATACTTTGTTACTTAACTCTATGCCAAATATAATATGACTTGAAAAAATGCTATTTTTTAACATAAATTCTAAGATTTTCTTTTGAATACTTTAGTTTTAAGTTTGTTTTTTTGTTAAAAGGCAGTAAATATAAAGTATTACAAAATATATTATTAATTCAAAAACACTTTACTTACAATTTTTAGATGTTTACTTAGAAATATTGTAGTATTAGAATTTTTGGATTCTAATAATGAAAAATTCAGATGCGTACTTTAATGCAACTAAAGTCTGATCTTTTAAAAAAAAATTAATTTATTATCAATTGTTTAAATTGTATCTTTGTATATTATTAATGCAGATATTGGCCTAATATTGCCTATACTTTATTTGTGAATATTGTGGGAGTTATTTTTTCAATATTGTTTGACTCTTTCAGTTATCCAGTCTGAAGAGACAGTTTGAAGTTCTGATAATACTTTTGATATTACAATTTCAGGTGGTTTTTCTCTAAATTTAAATAATTAGTCAAGTATAGCTTTCTCTGCATTCGTAGTAATGCGACGTATTTTTTTTGGATGATTAGTATCAGAAGGTAATGAAGGTAATGAAAATAATGAAGTATGCTATTGAATAATTGATGGATGAGTAGGATTATCTATTTGACCACCTTTTCGTTTCTTTATACCTTCAAACTGAGTATAAGTATAATGATTTATGTCTCATATACGATGTCTAGTAGTTACTTAGGATTTAGTTTTATATACATCCTGCAAGAGAATTTGTTAAAAGCGTGATTTGTCAAACTCGTAAAAAGAAAGAATGTTTTCAATGCTCTTTTTATTGATTTCTGATGCATTTTCAAATAAATAGTATATTGCAAGATTTGGATGATTAAAGGCGAACGATACCTTCACAACCAAGGACCAGAGTGAATCTTTGTATGACTTGATTGCACAAGCATTCTGACTCACTACAACATTATCAGTGTATTCTGCAAGAAGCATTGATAAATAATTTCTCTCGCTTTGGGCTGCTTTAACCTTCAATATCATGGTCAGCTGATCGGTAAGATTTTTAGTAATATTTTGCTTTATAAACTTTACATCATATGTTTCAAGTACTTCATCAAAAGCTAAATAATATCCTTCACTTGTAAGATTTACTAAGCATACCATTTGTAATAATTTCTGTAACTGTAGGTCATCATAAACTTGAGCCAAAAAGTGCATTATAGAACTTGCGTACTTAAACTTTCTAGCTGCAGGGAAGAAAGATGCGAATACAGCCAAATTTAACATTTGCATCCTGTAATTTTCTCTTCTAATTCTAATTTTATAACCCACAAAGTATCCCGTCTAACAGAAAAATAGATACCATACTTTTATGAATTAATTATCACCTTTCAAAATATCATCTATAGTTTCTCCTTTACTTTTCACATACTGATACAATGCAATCCTGTCTGTGATCTAGATTAATTCTAATACACAATATATTGTCTAGTAATCCATGATATGTTCAAGTTTATCTAAGTATCATACACCAAGAGTTATCACAAAATTGAATATTCCATACCTCAAGCATATTGTAATTAGAGTACTACATATATCTTTAGATGTATACCACTGCCCCAAAAAAAGTCAAACATCTTCGTAAATTTCCTTATAGGAGATTAATCTCCCAAAAATTGCTTGGTAACATGCAATATATAGACAGTCATTATTACTACAAGGTAAATTATTATGGTACATTTCACATGCTGCATGAATATTTTTATTGCAGTTGGGTGAATTACTGGGTTTCAATATCA